AAAACATCCCCGTTGCATTGAACTCAATGAAGCAGGGGAGGAGTGGGGAGGGGCAGCGAAACGAAATGTATCAATAGAAAACCTAGAGTTAAGAGTCTGTCGTCAGGGATGGGCAGAATCTCTTGTTACAGAAAAAGGGGTTACATAGAGGTAAACATGGGGAAACAGATTGGATAGAAATTCAGGCACTATAGGGACATGATTTTCGGAGCTTGATAGGCTCCGCACGGGGAAGGAACCCCTTTCAGACCACCTTGAGAGTTGCGAGTTGAAATGAGAGAGAAGCAGATCCCCGTCCTCGGCACCGAGGCTTGCATGAAGACGAGATGGGCTTTGGGTCTTTTTCGCGGTTGGAAAGGTTGATGAGTCGCCCGAGTGCACGGTTTAAGGGGTGTGTGGTCTGTCTGTCTGTCTGTCTGTCTGTCACGGGCGTAGCCAAGGAAGGAGCCCGGTCTTCCACCGAGGTGAGAAAGACATTCCTTCTCCTAAAAGTCTCCAGGCTTTGCGGGGCAGAGGGCTGCGGGCTCATTAAAACCACTCCGGTTCGGAATCTGCAAGGCGCACATTAAAGTGCCGTATTTTTCAATTAGAGCTGACGAATTCAATCAAAATTCCATAGATTAGGATGAAATGAGGCATGGGTCATTTACAGGGGAATTTAATTGCAGAGCCATTAGACAAATAGTATATTTGCCATTCTCGCGTTATCCATCATTTTAGACATCAATAGCAGCCGCAGCCGCTGCCTCTCTGCTAATTTTGCGCAGCCTCCGCCCGTAAATACTCCCTTTCCTCGCTCCTCCACAGCTTCTGATTATCTTCTGATTTCATTTAAAGCCATGGGGGATTGGAAATGTTCATGCAAGCAGCTTCATTAGGACTTGAAAAAGGAAAGAAAGAAAACATCGCCGCAGCATTGTCTGCGTTGGGTTGCTTTGCAAGTCCCGTTTGCTTGGGAGGGCCCCGAGCAGCGACGCTCGTTAACCAGACGGCCCTCTCGCCGCTGAAGCGCTCGTTCCAGTCCCCAGTGGGCTTTACAGGGGGGCTGGGAAAGGGACAAGATGAGAGTCGCGGCTAGCCGGATCCTGAGCACCAAACCCGGGGTTTGCTTTCTTCTGCGGGGTAAGCAGGCGCGGTCCTCCCCCAGGACAGCAGTTCCAAAAGCAGTCCAGTCCTCAGGAGAAACGAGTGCAGATAGCTGGAGTCGCCGACATCTAAGTCTCTTCCGCGGATAAGGCTCCAAAGGGAACGAGGGAGAGGGGCACGGACGGAGGCGGTTGGGGATGAAAGATGCCGCCAAAGATGGCATGGAGTTTGCAGCAGGCATCCTGGGCCCTAACAGGGCCCAAGGTGGTGCCCCTAAGGCTTGCTTGCGAAAAGGAACAGCAAGAAGTGTGGGCTCTCCGCCTTTGGAAATACGAGACCGGGGTTCATTCATACTCATTTTCTCCTTTGGGAAGGCGAAAACCGGAATCCCTTCCTTTTATTGGGACTCCCTGTCACTTATTGGGGGGTAAACCACTGCTCTTCCCGGGCCTGCCGCCAATGTCAACTTTGCTGGTCGGGCGGAGCAGAGGTCGGAAGGGCCACTCACGCTCCTTTCAGCCGGCGGCGCTTTCTGCCCGCTCCCACGCTGGATAGCAGCGCCTTCGGGCTGCCATGCAGAAGAGCCGTCCATTTCAGGGTCAGAATTGCTGAGTTTCGTTGGCATCCTCCAGCAGACTGGCCAGCTTAGTCAACTTCTCGGTGAGAGCAACTTAACTGCCATATTTCACAAAACATCACAGCAAGGAAAGGCAGGCGCACGAACTGGGTTTTTAAGTCTCTGCTCGTTTTACCCCATTGCGTCGTGTGCTCACAGCAGGGTTAATTGTCTCGTTAATTGAACTGGAAGGAAACACGAGCAACGTGCAATCTGAAGGAAGCGGTGCTCGGTTTCCTGCAAATCTCTTTGCCCTCTGCGTTCCTTTCCGCAGAGCCACTGCCCCAGTTTTACGCCCTCTTGGTGCAAGTTGGCGAGGCTTGCGCCAATGGGGAGAAACGAGCCCTTCCCTAGGGATTTGCGCCACAACGAGGCGCTGAGCCAATGAAAGAACCTGAAACGAGGCGCTGCGTTTCGTTTCGGATTCCCTTTTCTCCTCTCGCCGCCAGAGCCAGTCAAGGCAGCAGCAGCTGCTGCTGCTTGAAGCGCTCTCTCCAGCCCGGGCAGCAGAGGACGCCGGGGCGGCGCCTTTCGAGGCCCTTTATGGCTGTCGACGGGCATTGTCCAGAAGAGCCCTCACGTCTCGCTATGCCCTTAATTGGGAGCCCGCTAAGGCCAAGGCACAGTGGGGTTCTAGCCACCCAGGAAGGCGACTTTTTAGCTGGGCTCTAGAAGGCTGGCAGAAGCCCTCTTCGAAGCCCTCCCCTGGCGGGCTTTTGGGCGTAGCTGTCGAACAGAAGACCACGAAACGGTCTTTTTTTGGCGCCCCTTTTGCTGCGCCCTGGCTGTCATCCTCGGTCGAACGAGGGGCCGTGGCGGCGGCTTTTTCTGTCTCGCGAGAGTGGCGTCACCTGCAGTGCGAGTGAGGGGGCGCTGAACGAACGCCGGAGGGGTGGGGAAGAACAGAAGGATGGAGCGCTACATAGGGCACCTGGAGTTCCTGAATGAAAGGCAGGGTGTAGAATAAATACATAAAATAAACCCGCGCTCTCCTCCGTGGTCACTAGCCAGTCTCCATCTCCACCTTTGCCCTCTCCACCAGCATTGTGGTGCCTGAATTCCTTTGATGTCCATCGCCCTTTTTTTCACACCAACTTCTCTCCAGGTTTTCACCAAGAAAGAGGAGGCAGAACAGATCTCTACTATTTCATCTGGGGAAAAAGAGAGACACACTTGTGTTTATTTCTAGTTTTTTCCCCACCACTCCTCATGAAGCAAGAGAGGGATTTTCCCAGCACCTGCTCACTTTGAGTTCTCCCCGCCCCCAGCAGGACCTAGCTGGATGCACAACTGTGGTGGGATCTGCACCGCTCCTCTCTAAGTTATTTCTGTCCTGGCGTCTTTTTGTACCTTTCTTTATTTCACATTATTTTAACTTGGGAGATGACAAATGGGAGAAAGGACAGACGAAGCTCAGGCCCAGTGCTGCTGCTGCTGGATGTTTTCCCCACTGGCCGAGAGGGATGGTAGCAAGGCCCAATTCCTTTGCCGAAAACAAATGACGCTTCCACAAGCTGGGGCAACAGCAATTGGCAGTGACTCAGAATACAGGCAGGATAATTGTTAGCAATAAGAGGAGCAGTTTTTACGCTTGCATTGTTTTGTGCTGATCAAAGAATGGGCAGGTAATGTAAACTTAGTAGCGGAAAAAAGCTCAGAAGCAAGACATTTTGTTTCATGAAGTTCCAAGGTGTTATGGCAGCAGCGGAATTGGCGAGCTGGTGGCCTATCCAAGCAGGGAGGTTTATGCTTGGTTTATGCCCTTTATGGAGAGTGGTGTAGAACTCTGAGGTTCGCTTCCTCCTTGGGCAATACTATTCTCATTCTGTTGCACTCCAGAAGCTTTGAGATGCTGCCTT